TTGATGGGGCTCACAAGATCACCCAGAGCAACGCCATCCTTCGCTACATTGCTCGCAAGCACAACCTATGTGAGTGGGCTGGGGGTGGGGTGCAGGGGACAGGTGGCCATGCCCTGGGCTTGGCTGGGGTGGGATGTTGAGGGTGAATCTCTGTTGTGTGGCCGTAGGCGGAGAGACAGAAGAGGAGAAGATTCGTGTGGACATTTTGGAGAATGAGGTTATGGACACCTTCATGCACCTGGCTAGGGTCTGCTACAGCCCTGACTTTGTGAGTCCCCTCCCAGTGGGCTGGGGGGGACAGAGTTTGATAAGGAGACTGGACTCTTGTGTCCCAGCTACACTGGTCCTATTTGCCATATGAACTTACTGGAGCTGCTGATCCTCAAAGTTGGTGTCTATACTGCCACCAGAGTGACCCTCATAAACCCAAATTGCATCAAGTGAAATCTCTGACTCAGTTCCCACCAATCCTAGGATAGAGTCCAGACTCCCCAGGGTGGAAATTTATTCCTGGACAGTGTGTTTGCTTGTTAGCCCAGCGCTGTCTCCATGACACCCTGAGGCATCAGCATATTAGCCCAGTGGGAGTCTCAGGGTCAGCCACCAGGCTTTTGTACCTCTCCCTCCTTCCTTTTAGCCTCTCAGATTCTCCTCTTTTGTCCAGAATCTACTCAAATGTCTATTCTTTCACCCACTACCTAGACCTTAGGACTTCTTTCCCTGAGTCATTTTAGTTCTTTGCTGCTTTGATTCTGCCCAAGAGGAGTCCTGAGCTCTGCCAGGTTCCCACAGCACTCCTGGGTCTGACCCATGGAGGGTGTTTGGAGATGAGTGGTGACAGATGCAGGGGCAGTGTGGTATTGCTCTCTGCCTTCCCATTATCTCTCACAGATGGGAGCTGGTCCCCAATAGGAGTCTAACGAACACAGGTTGGGTTAAATCACCCAGCTGTAGCCCGGGGGACATGGCTGCTCACTCGTGGCAGCTGGGGGTCATGCACAGCCCTGGGGAGGCCTGCCTCCTGCCCAGGGAGTCTGTGTCTGAGGGTGGTGACAGCTGTTTTGTGCCTCAGAAGAAACTGAAGCCTGAGTACTTGGAGGTGCTTTCTGAAAAAGTGAAGCTCTTCTCACAGTTTCTGGGGAAAAGGCCTTGGTTTGCAGGGGACAAGGTAAGAGGAAGGCTTTGGGGGACCAGGATTTGTCATTATTCGCAAGCTTCAGAGTTTGGCGCCCATTCATCTTTGGCCTTTCTGCAGATCACCTATGTGGATTTCCTGGCTTATGACATCATTGACAAACTCCGTATGTTTGACCCCAAGTGCCTGGATGTGTTCTCTAACCTGAAGGACTTCATAGCCCGCTTTGAGGTGATTCTCTTAATTCTCTTTCTATTTATATCTCTTTTATCTTCCCCCTTCTCCTTGATGCTTTCCTAGTCCTGGAGCTAAAATGAAGAATAACTAGCATTTATTGAGGTCTTGTTTTATGCTAGGATCTGTTCTCAAGATCTTACATTTATTCTGTGAAATTTAATCTTCACCACATTCCCACTGGGTAGAAGAACTATCACCTCCATTTCACAGATAAGGAAACTGAGGCTGAAAGCATAAGTAATTCGCTCAAGGTCACAGAGGCAGGACAGCCTGTGCTGGGCCCCCTGTTAGTGTCTGGCTTCCACGGGCAGCAGTCAGTGGCTTCTCCTTTCCTGTGCCCAAAAGAGAAGGCTCAGGTCCTTTTCCAGCATGAGTGACACAGCTCAGGATAATGTGGATGAAGGAGAACGTTCAGGAGTGTGTATGTAGCTGGGATTAGTAGAGCTGAGACATAGTAGGATTGATGTGAAGTACCAAAGACACAGACGATATTTACTCTTGATCTCCAGAAAGCTCTGCAGGAATTGGCTCCCTATCGGGGGAGTTCTGAGATGCCAGGGCTGTGGTTGGTGCTGGGACTTGAGTCCACATGTGGGTGCCCTTGTGGAAGGATTGTATCTTGACATCTTC